CAGGGGGACACAATCTCCCCAATGCTATTTACCGCGTGCTTACAAGAGGTTTTCAGAAGCCTAGAATGGGAACAGTTAGGGATAAGAGTTAATGGAGAGTACCTTAGTAACCTGCGCTTCGCCGATGACATTGCATTGCTGAGTAACTCAGGGGACAAATTGCAACTCATGATTACGGAGTTAGACAAGGAAAGCAGAAAGGTGGGTCTTAAAATGAATCTGCATAAAACGAAAGTAATGTACAACAACCTCGAAAAAGAGCAGCACTTCGAGATAGGTAATAGTGCACTTCAAGTTGTAAAAGACTATGTCTACTTAGGGCAGGTAATAACCGCAGAGCCGAACCACGAGACTGAAGTAACTAGAAGAATAAGAATGGGGTGGAGCACATTTGGCAAGCACTCTCAAATTATGACAGGTAGTTTGCCACTATCCCTCAAGAGGAAGGTATATAACAGCTGTATCTTGCCGGTACTTAGCTACGGAGCAGAAACCTGGAGACTTACAAAGAGGGTTCAGCTTAAATTGAGGATGACGCAGCGAGCAATGGAAAGAAAAATGGTAGGTGTAACCTTAAGAGACAAGGAGAGAGCAGAGTGGATTAGGGAACAAACGGGGTTAAGGATATCATAGCTGAAATCAAGAAGAAGAAATGGACATGGGCCGGGCATGTAGCGCGTAGGTGGGATAACCGCTGGTCGTTAAGGGTAACTAACTGGATTACCAGAGAAGGCAAGCGGGTTAGGGGGAGACAGAAGGTTAGGTGGGCAGATGAGATTAAGAAGCTTGCGGGTATAAATTGGCAGCAGCAAGCACAGGACTGGGTTAACTGGCCTTTGTCCTGCAGTGGACGTAGTCAGGCTGATGATGATGATGATGGCATAAGCAAGACCAAGGAAATTTCTGCTTGGCTACTTGTCCTTCACATTGCCTAAAGTATTCCTTAGCTTCCATGTTGGTATATCCATTATTTTGATGTCTGTTGCTTATCTATATCCGACTTTCGAACCACAACATTGCTCACGTCTGTAAATTGATGCATGTTTGTCTAGGCCACGATTTCGGCTTGGCTTGAAGGCCGTCTGGTTTGTCTAGCCTAGAACTGCCATCAGCAGAAGCTTGCCGGGCTACTCATGTCTATTATTATTATTATATTATTATCATTATTATTATATTATTGTTATTATTATTATTGGTGATGCAACAGCAAACGTTCTCAGCTATACACTTCACTTATTGTTGGTAGCACGTTTCAAGGCAGCACTTGGGTAATTTTAGCTAAATTTCTCATTTCAGTTTCATGAGATTTTAAATCTGCAATCTTTTTTCAGCATCATGTGGAATCATGGAAGCTGTTGCACCTTGACAGATTCCTTCTTGCCACCACATATTCAAATGCCGGCACTTTAGAAACGCTTTCCCCAGCTTTCATTGCAGCCGTCTGAAGACTTCTGTTGCACTTCAAAAGAGTCATAGCCCAGTGGCATAAAATACAAATATATACGTGCTCGTTGGAAAAAAGAGAGAAAAAGAAAAAAAATTGCAGTACGTCTCTGTTTTTGCAATGTTGCCATTACTCGTTGCTAAGGCAAGGTACACAGAATACCTCAGTAGTAATTATTATTTTTTTGTTTGCTGAAAAGTATATTGTAGAGGTGCGCAAATTAGGCGGGGAGGCAAATCAGTAGTAAATACTGCCATATAGGTCAAATCGGGTCTAATATAATTCACATCATAAATAGTTGAGTCAGTAAATACAGCAGTTCAGGTCGATCTAATATAATTTGATCTACATCCTAAGCGGCGTGGGCTACAGCCATTACAGTAAACTAGATTATACTCCAGTGGCAGAACCGGGCAGGCTCCTGTGTCCTCATTTTACACGGATGCCACGAGATGGCACCATTTCTACGTTTCCTAGCTGCTTTGACCAGGCCCCGGAAACTCGGTGTTAGTTTCGGTTTCAAGGAACATGCACACTCGGAGCAGTTGCGGCATCCTAAGGTCTGGTTGAACGGAGTGAAGTTAATGTGAATGTTCGCATTTAGTGGCTTTCACAAGTTTTTACAAACAAAAAATTTGATACGCCTGTAAAAAAAGTTTTCTTTTATTTATGTCTGTTTTATTTCTTATTTCATGAATTTTAATTCAGGCGAAGTGTGGGAAGTGACTGGCTTGCATTCGTAGTGCTTGCCTCTGCTCTTTGTAGCCCCTCGCTCAGCAATATTAGTAGTTGGATTGTGCTAGGTTATCTCACATGGTTGGTGTGTCACCTATGGGAAAGATGAAGACAGCAAGTTTGGGCGAGTGTGGCCAAGGTACTCGGCTGCTGACCCGCAGGTCGCGGGATCAAATCCCGGCTATGGCGGCTGCATTTCCGATGGAGGCGGAAATGTTGTAGGACCGTGTACTCAGATTTGGGTGCACGTTAAAAGAACCCCAGGTGGTCAAAATTTCCAGAGCCCTCCACTACGGTGTCTCTCATAATCATATGGTGGTTTTGGGACGTTAAACCCCACAAATCAATCAAGTTTGGGTGATCAGAGAACGGAAGCTGCAGTGAGCTACGCCGAACGAGTCAACCATGCATTCATCCAAAAAGGCTTAATCGGTCAACACATGTTTTTGCATGGCTTTGCTGTGTGCTAACCAGGGGATTTCTAGCTCCGCGAAGGTTTTTCAGCATTTCCTAAAGGCAACGGGTGAGCACAAGAATTTGGACCCATTTTTCGAGCAAGTGTTGATTTTACATCAGTACATGTGAGTAAATCCAGTTCTCTGAAAAAGCCTGACTGGACTAACAGAAACAATGTCGCTTGACTAATTGGTGAAGACGGCATCTAAGCTCCTGTCGGAAAAATGCATTTACATATTGAAAGGCTAGAATTCGAGTTGACTTGGCTACATAGTTTTAGTCTATTTTACTTTTGGCGTGTAGTTCATATGTCAAGTAATTATAGGCTGCTTCCTGCTCATGAAATTCTTGTAGCCATTGTTTGAAAATTTGGGAGTCTTTAGTTCTAATAGTGTCACTCGAATACTTGTGATGGACTAAATGCTTCTAAAAATTATTACAGGTAATGTCGATGAAGCCAACGTTTTGACAAGTGAACTTCTTCGTCAAGGCAACGCTGTTGCCCTGACCAAGACAAGTCAACTTGAAAAAACACTTTTGCAGCGACATTGTTTCTCCAAAAACTTTTGATTCCTTCCAGCTTCTCCGTGCCTCTGAACTTCAGTATCGCTTGGTACACAAATTCTGTAAGAAAGCTATGTGCGCTGTCGTAACAAACGTGATCGAGTCAAATAGGACGTGTCCTACTCATGATTGTTGAAAATTTTCACATTGGCTCAGGTATTCTGGGTTCAACGTATGCTCCTAATGTTCATATGTCAGTTGTAAATTAAAGCTGCGTTTATAGATTGACACCTATACACTGCGTGTATGTATGTTTTTTTTATACAGAACATTCGAGTTTGTCCGTCTTGCTGAGAAATCAGTCAGCTTAACTATCACCTCATTATAAAACATGAACAAAATTGAAAAAAAGAATAACAAGATTTTATGGCCGCATTGCCCAAGCGGCCAGCGGACTTAAAAAAAGGCAAGAGTGCATTCCACTTGCGGTGCAAAGTGGGAAAAAGGGGCTTCCGTGGCAACCCTCCTCCTCCCAATTTTTCCTCCTTTCCCTCTGTTTGGGAACCTCACCTAGTTACGTCACAATAGAAATTTTCTTTTTGTGATTTATTTGTAGTAGAATGCCCAGCAACAGCAAGTGCTAAAAACGGCGCTACCGCTGCCGAGAGCGAACACATGGGAGGTATAGGGAAGTTCCGTCCCTTGCTTTGACTGCGATGTCAGACTATCGCACGCTCCTTCAAACTTTCATCTGCGGTTACTTTTAACTTGTGCGCTTGCTTCCTGGCTCTTCCGAACATCAAACAGCTGACTTGCTCACTGCCTGTCTCAGGGGTTTTATTTTGGTCAGATATACATATTTTTTCACATTTACCACACGGGCCCACAACATTCTGAGTGCGTCTGGTAAATATTTTTAATTATATTGAGCACCTGATTTTTTTTTACTACTCGAGGGTTTATTTCTAGTGCACAGTTTTCCATGCAGACGTGGCGGTCATGTAATTTGCTTTTAATCATTATGAAAAACCTGGAAAAGTAAAGTCAAAGAATTCAGAAATATCAAATTGGTAGACACCCTGGGTCGAGGAAGTAGCACTCGTCTTTCATGTGTACTGTGTTGTCGGCAACACTTTGCTTGCACCAAATTGTGTACAATAATAGAATTGTCCTCTGCATTGTCTCATTCTTTATAATTAGAAAACACCACCTCGCCAGCACTTCGGCAACTTAGCCAAAAGAAATGCTTTCGTGGTGCTATCTCATCAGAATATGTTTAGGAATTCTCACCAACATTTTTTTTCTGCAATTTCACTTTGGAGTATTCGAAAAATAGTTCAGAAATATTCTAAAAATAATCCATTCGATTGGCACTCAAGCTTCAATATTGAAATTTGCTTCCCCTTCAAAATTTTCTTATTTGCACAGCTCTAATATTAAGCGCTCGACCAAATGTACTGTAATTTTGCTAGCTTGTTAGTAAAGACCCAAGGATTAACTTGCATAACACAGATTATTGCTGAAAATTAGGTGTCCTTAAAAAAAATTAGGCTCCTTTAAAACCCAAACAGAAGTGCTTAGAGAGCTTAGGCTGCTAAGCTATTCTTGCAAATTGTTTTCCCTTGGTTCTGCCGCTGTAGGGTGATTGCAGAAAAAAAAAATTATGCAGTGTAAGTAAGCTTTTTATTTTTTGTGCTTAAAAGTTAGCATAAAGCGTAGTTGTGACCTCACAGATTTCAAAGCCTTTTTTTTTTCTTGAATAGATGCAAAGAGCTGTTCAAAGTATTAGTAGTATCATGCTTGAGCCTTATGAAGTGTTTAAATTTATTGTGTCAATCAAGAAGAAACTTTTCCCCCGCAGAGCTTGGTTGGCTTCTGGGAGGCGATAGCAACCACCACCTGCTGCTTGTTCTGTACTCCTTGGGAACACTGGTTCTCTGGCATGCGGACACAGGTGCCCAACTCTGGAGGAAGTGCTACCCTGAGCCCCTCCTTGCATTCTCTTTGGACCCATTCTGTGAAAGTACAGTTTTATGTAAGTGGGTTTTATACTGATCACACTTATTTTCCTCTCTTATTTTAGTAGTTAAAACTGTAGAGGGGGATAATGAGACGATCTGGTGGCAACATTGTCACAGTTCATGCAGGAGAAAAAAATAAAAATTGACAAGCCCTACAAGCTGCGATCGTCTTACAGGCTGAAACTACTAATTTTTGTTAGCTTATTATTCAGAGAAACAAAAAAATGTCGAAGTTACAAAAGGCAGATGTGCTCGCACATGTGGGGACCCCAGCAGCCAAATGCACAAGAAAAAAAATTTTATTCACTATCAAGCATGCATATGATCGTACATGGCATTGTTCTATTCTTTGCTGGTGTGTTTTTTTAAATGCTTTATTGTTTTCATTGTGCTATTGCTTTCATGCAATATGGATTGGCTGTATCAGAAACTTTACAAGCACTGTCATCACTCCTTTATTTCACATTCCTTCTTCTGGGAAAGGAAAGGGGCAAATGTTTGGAGAACACAAAGCTGCTAAAAAGTAGGCTGCCGCCTATGTCGAGGCACAGAAGGGAGTAAAGTTAATCATACAATTATACAGTGAACATAATGAATTCACATAAAGCAACACATGTGAATATGTATTGATATAGATTTGTACGAAAGGAACACTGCGTGGAAAACGCAGTGTTCTCTTTATCGTACTCGTGCATTAGAATCTGCCATTAACCAGAGCGCAAGTCGAAACTCTGGAAGTACTCTGCAACAGAATAGAAAGTTGGGCGAGTTGGTGTATATTCATATTAAAAGAAAAGCGGCGCACAAAAAGACGGAGACAAAGAAGAGAACCACACGCAGCGCTGTGTGTGGTTCTCTTCTTTGTCTCCGTCTTTTTTTGCGCCGCTTTTCTTTTAATATGAAAGTACTCTGCACCTTGTAAAGTATCAAGAGCTTCGTTCATGCGAGGCATGGGATAAATGTTTTTAACAGTAATTTTGTTCGGTGCTCTTTAATCAATGCAAAATCGCACTGATCTATCCTTTTTTTAACGAGCACAACAGGATTAGACTATGGGCTTGCCGAAGGCCTGATGACGTTGTGTGCAAGCAGGTTCATTTGTTTCTTTATGAACTTGCGTTCAGAAGTTTACAGACCGTAAGGGCGGCAGCGAATGACACAGGATCCGTTCGTGCCTGTTCATGACGATACGATGAGCGGCCACCGTTGGTTGACCCAGGCCATCAGAACAAACGTCAAAGCAAGTTTTGTGTCTCATTAATAAGGTTAGCGAGGCACTAGTCTGTGTTAGAATGAAATGTTCACACGAAGTGGCCTTGAGAGCAGAAGGTGAATCTTTCGAGGGCATCGAGGGCATACACTTTGAGAATGATTAAGCAGACGAAACAGTGATGACACGTACTGGTGCCTCTTTGGTAAGGCTGGCAACAGTGGTCCCCTCTGGCAGCAGTAGTGGTTCTGGCATTCTGTTGTAAGCAGTAATGCTTGCGTAACGATGTGAGAACCGCACTAGACAAAATGCGATTGGGATGCGAACGGGGAGATGGATGGGGCGGTGAACGGGAAGGATGAGGGACAGTTTTGGATCGTAAAGGGGAGGGCGACCGACGGGAGGAGGATAGATACGCTGAAGGAACATAGGCATCAGGTCTGGGGACAAAGTTTCTTTCATGAGCAGAATAGCCACGTCATTCATCCGGCTGATGGTGGCGACAAAAACGTGATATATGGCCTCGTATGCCACTGTAGAAGCAAACGGTGCATGACAGATTCCAGGTAGAGATTGGCACCTGTGCTGCCATCGAAGCCCAATGATCGCATTCTACGGCCACCGGAACAGTTGGAACAGGTGCATGGGCCTATGAAGCAACTTCTGCGTACAAGTGCGCAGGAGTGGGTAAAGGAGATTGGGCATGTGCGACGCTTGTCATCGATGCCAGTTCGTTCTTGATAATTTCACACAGCAGTGATGCTACCACTTTGCCAATCACGCCAAACTGCGTCGAAGTGCCCTGGCTGCTACATCCTGCTACATTTCCTCAAAACTTTACGAGTGTGCTCCCAACTTGTGCGAAAGTGTGTTTTCAGACTTTCAGCAACAAAACTAATTACTAACGGTGTCTCTTTAAAAGCGACGTCACGATGGACCCTGCGTATGACGCAACATGAGCTAAGCCAAGTTAAACTGAACAAAAGGTCACTGTCGCAATATGGCCAATGTCCGATTTCTTGAACTACCTAGGGACCACGAAATCATCCGAAAAAATTAATTTGTGTTGTGTTTATTCCGCTCAATCTCAAGTGGTCAGATCACCGAAGCCACGGCCAAAATAGTTTCAGTGACTTCCAGTAGACTTATCAGGCACTCTTGTGCACGGCCAGGCTCTCGTAAATGCATTTGGGACTTGCCGCGAACCCCTACCACGTCGCAACCATAACTTGGGAATTGGCCATCTTGTGATGAGTGCTGCCGATACCAGCAAAGCGCGAATGATATTATGGCCTTCGCACATAGAGCGCCTCGAAACTATGGCTGGCATACTAAGACAGAAAAGTGCACTACCCGTTCGAATTGTTTAGACTTCCCAGATGTGAGTTAGCATGCAAAATCTCCGCTGACAATTAGCATTTGCTGCCGCGTGAAGCCGATTGTTTCCAGTTGTGTGCAGCACATCCCAAACTCCTTTGGCGCCGTTATTGTCAGGGTGCTTTCTGGGCCGTAAGCTTGATTTTGTCATAAAGGTGTCCTTTATGCCCATTCTATTTCTAACATCTCACGGATGTCGCGATGATGATCTTCTTTTGCTAGGGAAGTGGTGTTGCACAAAGAGGCAGCGTGAACTGCCATGCGGCGCTTTTGGGTTCTCTCTTATTAAAAAGCATGCAGTATGCTTACAACTGCACCAAGCCACATGCACTACCGAGCAGCTAGCTGAAGATATTTATCACAAAGGGGTTTTGCCTATTAAATCGTACTGGCGCGTTTCCTGCGTTGCCGCCACTTGCCTCTGTGCGACTTCTGTGCGTGCTTAACAGTAAGTATGTATATCGCCGCGCTGCGCTGTGGTAGTGGCCCCTTTTGATTTTTGGTCTGTTTTTTCCCATACCACCTAAGCTTAGCGGCAAAGCTGACTTTCGAACATTGCTGTGGTGGCAGGAAAGGGCTGATTCAAGCCCATGAAATGGTAGGCGTAGCAGAGGTGGGGCTTTAAGTAATGCCGTTTTGGACCTGAAATGTGAGTGGACTGTATGAAAAATTGGGCACCGAAGAGCTTTGGCATCCGAAATTTCAGAAGTTCTTGTACATTGCTGTGTGTGGGTGCTGAGACTTAAAAATCTAAATTTTTAAGTCGACTTCTGGAAAATCGACACTTGGCTGTATTTGCTAATATATACGTGGCCAGCATGCGCATTTCTGAATGCACATCGAGACGGCTACTAGATGTCACCAAAGCTCTTCACGAGTGTGGCGATCCAAGTCAACCAAGCCAACTGTGGAATTTACTTAATCAGGAAGCTTCCTGCTTGGTGCTCATGCGTCAAATACAGGGACTCTTTTTGTGTTTGGGGGCATGCTTAAAGGCGTTCCTTACTTTTGGATTGATACAGTAACTGCCCCGTGTCTGAAAATATTTACTCTCAAAAGATCATTCAAAAAAATCTAAAACATCCTACACAGTTTCTGATAGTCTTAGGCTCCAGCCTAAGAAGTGTGTGGTCAATGAACTTAAAGGAACACTAAAGAGCAATACAATTCTTACAGATTAGTAAAGTACAATTTGACAATCCTGAAAACACCACTTTTACCATGACACGATACTTGGTAAGCGAGAAAACTGGCAAAAAAAAATGCGGGCGGAGATGCCACCTTGAGATTCCCGCAGCAAACACCATGGCTTCATAAATCTTGAAGGTGTCTATTGGGCCCTACATAGCTTCTAATCAATAAAAATGAAGTACATTGTTACGTGTGGGTGCCATAGACCTAGCATACGAAGTTTCAGAAAATTCAATCTAGCAGATGTCATGAAAATACGATAGATACATTTTTAAATTTCCAACGTCAGGCACATAGATTTTGACACGAAATTTAAAATGAAACTTCAGCCTTGATTTTTTCAGTTAATAATGAACCTATTATAATAAAACATAGCACATTAGTGTTCTCGGAATGCAGTTTGTCGGTCTAAACCAAGTCATTGTTTCCCTTTCACAAGCTATATGTGTCTTCTATTGCTATTGATAAAACACACATATGTCACCACAGATGTTTTTATGATATTTGAATGTACAAGCTAATCTGTAATAATTAGGTAACTTTTATTCATTTTATAACAAGGTGCTATGATTTTATATTTCACCGTTAGCTTTCTTTACTAGGTCAGGTTAGCCATGGATGACATTGATAATTCCGTGCATTTTATATTTTTATTATGCTTGAATAGCGCGCAGCAAATCGCACTTTAATTGGTCATCTGTCATGGACGCAATACATGTCTTAAAACTGATTCTTGCAACATGTGTTCCTATAGTCAATTTTGCTTCTCCAAAACAACCTGAGCCAGTAGCATCACCAACACAGGTTTGGAGGAGGAGTGCGGACAGGTGAAATGGCCGGGTTAGATGCAACAAGGCTGTGGAGTTCCTCTCTGGCAATGGTGCAGATTAGGGCTCGCAATTCATGCTCTCCAGTAAAGCGAGCATAGCAGGAGGTGTGTGGAACGCTCATAGAATAGAGTGCGTCCAGATGCTAACATGTGGTGATGATGTCCTGAACTGTATTTGGGCTTTGGATGACAAGCATTGAAGGCCACAGAGTTGACACCTTTCAATATGTGATGGATGCGATCGGCCTCTATCATGTCACTTGGGCATGGCAACAGCGAGCCAGAACGTCTTCAGTGTACGGAATGTATAATTCGTTGGGCCCTTGGATGCGGGTAGCAATCTTCTGTTTCACCTTTCGGAGCACCCTGCAGACATGCCAAATATCTGATGCAATTGCGCTGTGAAGGCCGCCCAATCAGAAGAGTCACTTTCGTGGATGTGGAACCACGTTTTAGTGACCTCCTTGAGGTAAAAAAAAAAGTGTAGCGCAGTTTGTGTGCCTCATCCCAATGAAAACACTGGTTCAGAAATAATTTTCTAGCCATTTTTTGACGTCCTCACGGCGAAGGCCAGAAAATACCGGAGGGTATCGTTGCGATGTACTTACGGATTAGTTGGCCCAACTGACTGAGAAGAGGCGGTTGCAGCTGCCGATGCATTGGGTTCTGCCATCTCTCTTGCTCGTCAACAATCATCAACCAGACCCGAGCTCTAGGGGTCACCGGTAGAGCAAGAGGATGTGGTAATGAAAGCACGCTCCCCCATTTATGAGACTACGTCCGGTACGGCAGCAGCAAAGTTGCATCCCTTTTCTACTCAAATTTTTTCTAGGCCAGAAAAAAAGTTTTAATGTTCTTTTCGTGCTAAAAGGCCATTGAGAAGCATGCAAAAAACTAAAAAAGGCTGTAAGTACTACGGTCTTCACAGGAGAAGCATGTCCAGTATACTGGACACTGGGATTAATTTGTTGCACATATGGGTACACACACTCTGCTATTTTCCTTTAGAGAGTGCCCCGTCACGGTGGTCTAGTGGCTAAGGTACTCGGCGGCTAACCCGTAGGTCGCGGGATCGAATCCCGGCTGCGGCGGCTGCATTTCTGATGGAGGCGGAAATGATGTAGGCCCATGTGCTCAGATTTGGGCACACCAAGTGTTTCAAATAAAATAACACCAAGTGGTTCAAATTTCCGGAGCCCTCCACTACGGCGTCTCTCGTAATCATATGGTGGTTTTGGGATGTTAAACCCAACATATCAATCAATCAATCAATCAATCCTTTAGAGTGTGCTGTTATTGGCCATGTCAGAAGGTTAACCATCTTATAAAACACAAGCAGGTTCGTTTTAACCTGTGAACAAGTTTCTCATAGTTAGCTCTTGCACATAGCACTCAGCACCGCAAAGGGGAAAAAAAATACCTAAAGGGCCTTGCGTCCACTAGCCTACTTTATCAGACGCCGCTCCCTCCTAGTGCTTCATGCTCTTGATAGATTCTCAGCGTGCCCCAGTTTTATTTTTTATGACTGGGCTTCAAGATTGACATGTGATGCCCCTTCTTGTTTTCTTTTCCCCCTCTATGTTTAGCACGATGTACGCCAATGGCATCCTGGGGTTCAGTGTACTAGACATAAATAAATTCTCGCATTACCTGCAAACTCCAGCTACCTTTTTGCAACACTGTTTCAAGAAGACATAACACAGCTCGTCGCATGATTTAAATAATTTGAATTGTGCTAAGGTAGCTCCTGAAGTAATTAAAGATACTTGGCCACATCATGCACGCGTGTTCCCGCGCGGATGGCGCCATTACTTTCAGGTGCCCACATATGAAAATGGGGCTGAAGGAGGAACTACATTTAAAAACATATTGCTCAAGTCTTTGCTAAAATGTTTTAGGTTCTGATTGTTGCTGTGCTTATTTTCTGCATCGCTTTTATTTGTCATGTTCAGTACACTGGTCGCAAAGTTGGAAAAGTGTATCGCAATGCAGTCGTGCGAGGCAAAAGCGGGGCTAGCCAGCGTGACGAACGATGATGATTATTACAATGTTCTTGAATATAGATGAAGATGATGAAGTACATTGTCAGTGCTCATAATATTAATAGCCTTTCAACATTCAGTGTATGAATTGAATTGTTTAAGCACGCACTATTTAAGTTATATTCGTCTATGCAATTATTTGGGCCCCGCCGTGGTGGTCTAGTGGCTAAGGTACTCGGCTGCTGACCCGCAGGTTGCGGGTTCGAATCCCGGCTGCGGCGGCTGCATTTCCGATGGAGGCGGAAATGTTGTAGGCCCGTGTGCTCAGATTTGGGTGCACGTTAAAGAACCCCAGGTGGTCGAAATTTTTGGAGCCCTCCACTACGGCGTCTCTCATAATCGTATGGTGGTTTTGGGACGTTAAACCCCACAAATCAAATCAGCAATTATTCGGGCACCCTGATTTTCGTATACGCGGCAGTTGGGTAAACAAATATCTTTAGAAAACATTTAGCAGTTGCTGTTTTGCATCAGTGTCAATTTGCCTGACCATGCTGGACAGCAAAATGCCCTTTGTGTATTTTGGCTGAGCTGGCATGTTGAATGGAGGAAGAATTGAATTGCAGTGTGAAACAGTGGTTGTCCTTCAGTCCTGCCGAGTTGTAAAGTGATAGTTGACGCTCCTAAGGAACAAACTCTAATGTGATATCGCATCTATTATTTAGGCACGCATCAGAAAATGGGTGTATAGGGAGTTAAAGATCTTTATTTTGTAGCAGTATTTGCCTCCTTGAAGGTGATATTTATTTTCTCTTTGCAGTTTTGATTCACCACATCATTTGAAAAAAGAAAGATGTTTGAGAAGCTTTCTAGATTTCTGCAGAACTTTTGCAGAAATGTTGAGCGCAACTTTGCTTGTCTCTTGCAGTTTTGGCAGCCGACCATCTTCTCCTTGTGGATGACCTAAATGGACAGCAGGCACCTGCAGGTAATGGCCAGAAGTGGTCTCTGGCAAGTGTTGCTTACAGTACGAGTGATGCTACTGCCGAAGAGAGGAGCAAGTCTAGGAGCCGGCTCATCAGCGGGGTCAAATCGCTCATTCGAACAGGAGACAACCAAACAGGGTCAGCACATAACTTGGAAAATTAAATGTTTTTCATGTCGGAGGTGGCTCGTAACATTGATGCAATGTCTACACTTTGTTTCTTGCTTAGTAGGCAATACCGCCGAAGCAGCATAAACCAGTTTTCTATGTAAGGCCAGGTTGTTAATGGCTGGGTTTGTTAACATTCAATATGTATTATTTTTTGCAGTGCACCTAGAAAGCCCCAGCGAATATTTTAGCGATATGCAGCTTTTCTTCAAAAAGAAAATAAAGTTTGCTTTATGTTGTGTCTTCGTTAATTGCAATTTAAGACACTTTTGCAGATGCTCAGCTTTAGGCAAATCTCGATCTTTCAGGCAACCCAACGCATGCGCAAGCGATACCGTAGAAGCAGTGCAACAATGTTCTTACTTCAGCACAGAGAGGCCTCAGAAGGAGGGACAGGAGTGGAGAAAAAAGTTGGCTTTGTTAGCCTATCTAAGCAATGTCATGCTGCAGCCAACAATATAATCGATTGAGGATGGTAAAAAACGTGGCTTTCGCCTTTGAGTCCTGTCAGCGGAATGCATTGCCCATCATCATTGAGGCAGTCTTGTATGTCATGGTGTTCGTCTGCCACTGTTGCTGTTAACTACTTAGACTGTTACTTCATGAAATACAATTTCGAAAAAAAAATTTTTAATTGCTGAAAAGGTTATTTCAGAACACTTAACTGCATGACACCCTCTTTTCTGCATTATTGAGTAAAATATAGAGTGCTCCTGGGAAGATTTTCTCTGAGGGATTTGTGATAAATCGACAAATAATTATTATTCATCTGCCTGAATGTAGATGCAACTTGCTTCTCGAGTCTACTTCACTACTCCACAGTGTGAAATTAGCTGCTCAAAAGTGCTCCAAGATGAAACTTTTTGCTGCTCCTAAATGCTCCAAAACAAAAATTTTGCTGCTCTAAAAAATGCTCCAAATCAGAAGTACTCAGTAGCATCACTGCAGGGTTCAGCGTCTATGTGATCATGTTCTTGTTTCAAGTGTATTGTACTTGTTCTCAATTGAAATTCTGAATTTCTCTGCCTTTAAAGTGGCCATGACATCCAATTTTCGCTCATAATATGTGTTATGAGGGCTAATCCTTAGGTTTTCACAAACAAGCTTGCAAAATTTCAGCGCATTTGGTCTAGAACTTACTATGTAATGAGCATTTTTAAAACACTCGAGCAGCCCAACAGTCTGGCAACACTGGTGCACTCACGTGCTGTGACATAACAAGCTGCTTACTTGCAAACGTCTGTATTCCAACCAACAATCTTGTTTTCTGGTCAGCAGTGCGTACAGTGGAGCTATTAGAGCTTGTTTGAATTGTGATTCAGAAGTGAACGATTTGCAGCGGCTCAAATTTAGGTAAAGGACTATGGCTTCACTCAATGATGCACATGATGTCACACACGTCATGTCAAAATGGTGGTCGTTGGCAATGGTTGGGGCTTATGGCCGTCGAATTCTAGGTGTCATGACTCATTTCCCAATGAAATATTTTTTAAAAGTCCATTTTTCATATATGTAGAATAGACCGTCTACTTCTATTTTTTGCTGAAAACAGAAATTTGATGGCTAATCGTGTCATGGCCCCCTTAACTTGTATAAATCTAAGTTGGCCTATTTTTAGCAAATAATTTTGTTCTGTCTCTCAATAGGATGTGTGTGATCTTTGCCTTCACCAGCTTGTAATCAAACGCTCCTCTCTTGCTTACTGCTTCTATATGCTGTATTACACTTGGATCCCTGCACATAATATATTAAAAGCTGTTCTGTATGTGAAGACTGTTTCGTTTTGTGAATTACAGTAACATCTCTCCTCTACTAAGCCTAAAATCTATACCACATTTCCTGATTGCTTCTCTTTTCTGCTTTGTTCCTACATTGAAATCACCCATTACTATAATGTTCTGGGTTTTTGTCTTTTTCATCGCTAATTCTGCTTAATATTACTCAATATTCTTGTCAATATTATACTTTCTTGTCATCAAGGCTGGACGTTGGAGAGCAACTTTTATTTACTTTCAGTTTATATTTCCTGTTTAGCTTTAACTTGACGTCTGCTGCCCTTTCATTGAGGCTGTAGTATTCCTCAACGTTGTCATTTCATACCATTGAAAAGATACAAAAGTTGATGGTACAGCAGCTTCTCATTGTTATAACCGATATATTGTTAGAACTGGTAAAATGTGTGTTTGTGTGTGTTTAGTACTACTAGTAGTTGTAGTAGTAGTGTAGTAGTACGTAGCATAAACACATACTAGTACTAGTAGTAGTAGTAGTAGTACGTGGCATAAATACACACTACTAGTATTAGTAGTATTCTTCATCTTAGTCTTAATAAAGAGACCAGGAAACTGAGAAATGAACTGACTGAAAGTTTACTGCGAGATGAACATAACTGAAGAATTCAAGTAGGAAACCAATCATGCTCGAGAAAGTTGTTCTGTTAAAGCAGTAGTTTCACTTAAGAGATTTCAGTTTACTGAGAGTCTACCATGTGTGTGTTTGTACACACACATGCACGCACACCGTATATACTCGCATAATAGGCGCACTTTTTAATCCGTCTCGAAGTTAGGGGTGCGCCGATTACGCAGAGTAAACTTTTCGAAAATCTGCACATTTGTCAAGTAAAAGGTGACTTTATTGTTTAGCAATTAATTCAGCATGAAACAAACACACCTACGTACCTTTTAATGAACAAGCAAGAGCCGTCAACTGCACACACACACGTAAAATTTATTTACACAAAAGTCGTAGGTGTTCCTCCTTTTCTCTATCCGGAGTCAGAGTCGGAGAGCACACATTCATACTCGCCGAGCGGGGATTCGTTTTCAGTGTCTGAATCATCCGCAACCTACAACATGTCATCCTCACACTCGCATCCAGTGTGTTCGAGATACCTGTCTTCTTGAAACTTTTCCTGACGACTTCGTCGAAAATCGCGTGCCACGCTTCCACGATCCAAGCGCACAGCATTTCCACTCGCAGCCTCTTAATCCTACCACCTGGAGCCAGCTGATGTTGTCCTCCAGCCATCCTGGTGGTGTACAGTCTTCGAACATGGTCCTTGAAAGGCTTATTCAAGGACACGTCCAAAGGCTGCAGTATCGATGTGAGGCCGCCCGGAATCATTGCCAGATCTATGTGCAGCTCCTTTAGCTCATCTCGTACGCGGTCTACTAGGTGCCCACGAAAACTGTGCAAAACAAGCATGGACGGCAACAACAGACCACCCGACCACCGACCCCAGACTGTTTTCACCCAATGTACCATAAGTTCTATGCTCATCCAGCCTTTTTACTGGACTCTGACATAGATGCCTTGAAGGAAGTTTGCCTTTGGGAGCATCTTAGGTTTAAAGATAACGTAAGGCGGTAGCTTGCGCTCATCCGTTGTCACCGCCAGCATTACGGTGCATTGTTGTTTATTGGCGCTAAACGTTCTGATGATGACGCTCCGTGCACCTTTCTCCTTCACTGTCGTGTTCTGCGGCATATTAAAGCAAAGGGGGGGTTTGATAATCGTTGCCGATCTGGTACAAAATGAAGTCCTGTCGTCGGATATTTATAACGAAACGGTGGAAGTCCACCATTTAGTCCTCATATGCTGCGGGCAAGCTATGGCACAAGGTGGTCCACCTTCGCAGTGCAAAGCCATGGCGCTGCATGAAATGAGTTGTCCGTCTGGAGCTGGCTTTGAGCTCTTTTGCTTCGATGTGCTGCGCTCGGGCTATTCTGCGCGCCTCAGTCTGCACAATATCCAATGACACAGCACAGCCGTCTTCTCGTAGCTCCCGTATATGTCGGACCAGTTGCTCTTCGACGTTTGGATACCTGGCAGTCTTGGCACCGCAGAAAGCCCGTCCTGTCTTCTTCGTCGCCTTAAGTTTTCCTTCTTGATCCCTCCAGTACCGAATACTGGTTTCTCCAACACCGAATGCCTGCTTGCAGCCCGGTTGCTGTGCTTCAGTGCATACTGCACTGCCTTCAGGTTAAATCCAGCCGTGTAGCTTATGTATGTACTTCCCTATGGTGGAACCAAAGAATACACAATCACAACGTACGCACAGCACTTGCAAAATGGCATTTCTTTTTCTCTGATGGTGGTGATGGCGATCGAGCCCCCGGCATTGTACACGTGACCTCCAAGGAGAGCGGCGATTTGGGAGTATCATTAATTGATGGTACAGCATTTATTTATTTTTTTTTGCTCATGGACGTTTTTTTTTTTTCCAAGTTTCATTTCGACAAAGACGTTGGTTAGAGCGTTGCACTTCGAATTTTTTTTTATTTGCTCGTCGATTTGCCTTCTTTTTTTCTTCAGGGTACGGGGACCACCACGTTACCGCTGGGGGGTAGAATCATTTCTGATCATGGCCAAGTTCGGGGGGCGTCTATTATGCGCAGAATTGAAACAATCGAATTTTTCGTGACCAAACTACGGGTGCGCCTATTATGTGAGTGCGCCGATTATGCGAGTAAATAGGGTATATATATATAGGGTATCATTATCATCAGCCTGACTGCGATGCTCACTGCAAGGCAAAAGCCTCTCCCATGATCTGTGAACCAGGTCTTCTGCTTTCTGTTTCTATTTTGTACCTGCAAACATTTTAATCTCATTGGCCTACCTAACTTTTTCTCTCCCCCTCGCATGTTTGCCTTCTCTGGGAATCCAGTCAGCTACCCTTAATGACCAGCGGTTATCTTGCCTACGTGCTACGTGCCCGGCTCATGTCCATTTCTTCTTCAATTGAATATGATATTCTTAACCCGGGTTTGTTCTCTGACCCACTGTGCTCTCTTCTGGTCTCTTAAGGTTACTCCTATCATTTCCTTTCCATCGCTCGCTGCGTCGTTCTCAATTTAAACTGAACCCTCTTTGTAAGCCTCCAGGTTTTTGTACCGTAAGTATCTACGGTATAGTGCCTAGAATATACTGGCTAGTGGGCCGTCCGCGGCCTTCTAGCTGGCACCA